AGAAGAGAAGAGAAGAGAAGAGAAGAGAAGAGAAGAGAAGAGAAGAGTTGGAAGGGACCTTGGAGGTCTTCTAGTCCAACCCCCTGCTTAGGCAGGAAACCCTATACCACTTCAGACAAATGATTGTCCACTCTTCTTAAAAACTTCCATCATTTACAACTTCTGGAGGCAAGGTGTTCCACTGATTGATTGTCCTGACTGTTAGGAAGTTTCTCCTTAATTCCAGGTTGCCTCTCTCTTTGATTAGTTTCCACCCATCGCTTCTTGTACTGCCTTCAAGGGCTTTGGAGAATAATTTGACTCCCTCTTCTTTGTGGTAGCCCCTGAGATATCGGAACAAGGCTATCATGTCACCCCTAGTCCTTCTTTTCATTATTAGGGGACTGGAGGCTAAAGCCTACCATGAACCCTCATGGAAACTGGGTGTGTCCAAATAAAAAGTTTAGGGGTGATACAATGGCTACCTTTGGATTTTTGAGGGCCTGTTCACAGAGAAAAGGGGGTTGACTTATTCTCCAAAGCACCTGAGGCTAGGACAAGAAGTAATGGGGGAAGATGATTAGCTCAAACTGCAGAAATGCCAGGTTGTTCTCATTGGGGTGTTTCTACTCCAGTGGTACCTGCTTTTCCACCTACACCTGTCCCAACATGCCAACAGGCAGCGGTAGGTGGCATGGTGCCCAAACCGGTCTCGGACTCGCTCTGCCTGCCAACTTTAGGGGCTCAATTAATGCCAATGGAGGTGCAACAGAGGTTTACCGAGGTATTAGACAGGAACTGATGGGGGAACACAGCAAGGTGTTAGATACTCATTAGTTAGATACTATCCCAGTCATTACACACCGCAGTCAACATAAGATGAGCCAGCCTCTAAGGACTGACTCTGTATTGCTCCAACCTCAGAGGAAGACCAATCTGACTATTCAGTTGAGGAAGGAGAAATAAAGGAACTGTTGGAGGAGGAAACTGAACCCTTTGATCTGGGTTCAAAGGGCTCTTTCGACCCCATTTATTCAAGCCATTGTTAGTCAAAGCCAAGAGCGCAACTGGACTAGATCTTTACACAGAGGTTCCAATCTAGAACTAAGGAGAAATTTCATGATAGTGAGAACAATCAACCAGAGGAACAGCACTCCTTCAAAATGTGTGGGTGCTCCATCACTGGAGGTTTTTGAGAAGAGATTGAACAACCATTTGTCCAGAGTGGTATAGGATCTCCTGCTTAAGCAGAGGGTTGGGCTAGAAGACTTCCAAGGTCCCTCCAAGTTGTTACAGAAGAACATCTCTGTTACTCTATAAGTAATTAATTCTAGGATCATTTCGTAGTGCACAAACTTGCCTGGAAATTAAAATCTTCTTCAGACTTTCCTCTCTGAATTCCTATAGTATCTCTCAGCTGTATAATATTAACTGTGGTGCTATATTAGCAAACCAAAATGGTATTTATGGCATTGGAAGACATGATTTGGAAGAAAAAAAAACCACCACCACCCCAATATTTAATGGTTTAATGTAATTTAAACCGTGGTTTGAATTTTGTGAGGACAAAATGCAATAAAACATCTTCACCTGAATGTCTGGGATACTGGGTTGCACAAAGCCTCCGGGGTTGTAGGTATAAATCATAAAATCATTGGGCAAAAAGGACCTGTGGTGAAACCAATGAAACAAAAGTCAAACTGGAATCAAAGAGATGGATAAAGGCAAAGGTTCCTCTTGCACATACGTGCTAGTCATTTCTGGCTCTAGGGGGCACTGCTCATCTCCATTACAAAGCCGAAGAGCCAGCGCTGTCCGAAGACGTCTCCGTGGTCATGTGGCCGGCATGACTAAATGCTGAAGGTGCATGGAGCGCTGTTACTTCCCACCAAAATGGTCCCTATTTTTCTACTTGCATTGTTTACATGCTTTCGAACTGCTCGGTTGGCAGAAGCTGGGACAAGGAACGGGAGCTCACTCCGTTCTGCGGCGCTAGGGATTCGAACCGCTGAACTGCCGACCTTTTCTGATCGACAAAGCTCAGTGTTTTAGCCACTGAGCCACCGCATCCCGGAGTATGTCCCTCAAATGTCTTGAGTAGCAGAATCAGAAGAGAGTTTTCGTGCCAGGGAAACAAGGCTGCTACCCAAAGATTATTAGGTTATGGAACGCCGATTATCACTCATTTTAGGTTATTCGATTAAAAAGTTCAATTCAATTCCTTGTTTATAAATGAATTGTGCTTCTCTGATCGACAAGTTCAGCATCTTAGCCACTGGGCCACTGGGCCACCAAAAAGAGATGGCTAAGTAGAGGTAATCCTCTGCTTACGACCATAATTAATTGGGACTTTTTGTTTATAGCATAACCCTCTAATCACAGCTACCTCCTGTAGACCACCCTATTCTAATTACCCATGTATTCAATGTTTCTTAATATGGCTAATTAGTTACTTAGGCCAGTGGTCACCAACCAGTGGGCCGGGGACTACTGGTGGTCCGTGAGAAAATTTGGATGGTCCGCAGAGAAATGTCACCCCCAAAGCAATTAATCCAGTCTGCGCGGGAACACAAGGCTGCGCCCTCCACATGGCCCAGGGGAACACAAGGCTTGCATCACTTGCATTGCAAACAACATCCGGTAGTGAGGGGAGGGGGGAAAGGGCGGAGGGGGGGAAACTTGCCCCACTTGCGCCAAACACCTCGCCTGGCCACCGGGCTGCTTCTTTCTGCTTCTTTCTTCTTCTGCTTTTGGCTGCACACAAGGAAAGCAGCAAATGTCTTTCTTTCTTTCCCCCAAACTTCACCAGAAATGAGTCTTTGGGACCCTGCAAGGCCTCCTGCTCCAAGAGGCTGCGCCGGTGCGACAAGTCTCACAAAGACTCATTTCTGGCGGAGTTTGGGGGAGAGAAAGAAAGACTTCTGCAGCTCCTGCTGCTTTCCTTGCATGAAGCCAAAAGTCTCTCTTTCTCTCTCCCCCTGAGAATAGAGCTGGAGACGGTATCCTGCGATCCCAAATAAAGAATGATCGATCGGTAGGAAAACAGGATGGGGAATTTTCCTGCAGACTTTTTGGGGGGGATTTTCCCAGGGTCTCTGGTCCGCAGGATTTAAAATTATGAGTTTGGTGGTCCCTGAGGTCCAAAAGATTGGCCACCGCTGACTTAGGCTGGAGTCCCACACCATAGCCTAGAACGCTCTGCACCCTCCCTATCACCGATCCCCTCTACTTCCCTGACACCCGATGTATAAACCCCCCTCCCCTCACTAAAGTGTCATTAAATCGGAGCGCTGCAGCCACGTCATGTGGGGATTCCCATTCAGCCTCCCACTCCCAGGTAGCAGTGCGAGGCAGCGTCATAGCGAATCCATCGCTGGCGGGACGGATCCATGATTAACATCTTTTATTACTGGCAGGCGTAGTTTGATTATGGAGCCCAACATTCTGTGGCTAAGCAAAGTGGGTGTTAAACGACTTATGCCGGATTTTACCACCATTTTTGCCGCTGTTGTTAAGCCAATCCATGTCGTCGTTAAGTGAATCAAGTGGCCATTTAGCAAATCTGGCTCTCCCCCCACCCCAATGGGCTATGGTTGCTGGGAGCTGCTGGGGAAGGTTGCAAGTGATGATTGCAGGACCCTGGGACACGATAGCCACGAAAAATACATGCCTGTGGCCAATGCACTCGATTTTGATTCACCGATTGATCATGCGACTGTGGGGAAATGCTAGGAGGGTCATAAGTGTGAGGACCTGTCTTAAGTCAACTTTTTCAGGGCCGTAACTTCGGATTGCTGCTAAACCAATGGTTGTCAGCAGGGGTGGGATTTAAAACTTCCAGCAACCGGTTCACTCCTGTCTCCGGCTTCCGGAGGGCATCCAGAGCCCGGGGAGGCCATTTTCCCCCTTCCAAGGGTCCGGAGGCTTTCCCCGGGGCCCCTGGGAGGGTGAAAACAGCCTCCCCTGGGCTCTGGAGGCCCTCCGGAAGCCGGAAACAGGCCCGTTTCTGGACTTCCGGAAGGCCTGTTTTTCACCCTCCCAGAGCCTCCGCGCAGACCCTGCCTTTACCTACATCCAAAATGGGCTGCATTGAAACTCCTGGGAGGGGTGGGGCGAGGTGGGCAAGGCCAGCCGGTTGATTGAAATACCGGTTCAGCAAACCGGATGTAACTTTAAACATCCAGTTTGCCCCGAACCAGTCCAAACCAGTAGAATCCCATTTCGTGACCATTCGAAGTTACAACAGCCCTGCAAAAAGTGACCTAAGACCAATTTTCACGCTTACGACTGTTGTAGCATCCCACCCACCCACCCCCCAGGGTCACATGATTCATATTCAGATGCTGGACAACCGACTCAAATTTATGACGGTTTCAAGTATCCCGGAGTCACGTGATTCCCCCTTTTGCGATGAGCGAAGTCAACAGGGAAGCCAGATTCATTTAACAACCGGGTTACTAATTTAAGAATTGCAGTGATTCGCTGTGACAAGAAAGGTCGTCAAATGGGGGAGAACTCATTTAGCAAATGTCTCCCTTAGCAACAGAAATTTTGGCCTCAATTGTGGTCGTACGTCGAGGACTACCTACAATGTGAACCTCCATATCTAAGCATTCTCCTCAAATCTTGTTAACTGCCCAACCTTTTGTCCACTAAATCTCATTAGGACGCTTCCTCTATCGTTGTCTCCAGAATTTCCTCTCCTTTGTATTTCGCTATCAATTTAAAGTTTATTTTAAAAATATAAAATAGAAATACGAGATAATAATATAATAAAGATAATAGAAATACGGTGAGGGAGCAGGCCGAGGTAAAGAGAGAGAAACACCTCCCAATGTCAAAATTTATGTCCAATTCCAAATAATTCTAGGACGTTTATAGGACAAAAACAAAATGGGTGGAGTCTGGGCAACTAAATAGAGCTGAGTGTTTACTGGCCGGATGGCCTTCCTGTCACCAATGCAAAGTTATATTCAGCAGATATATTCAGTGAAGAATTGAATAGTGAAGAATTTGACGCACACAAGGCTAAGATTGGAAAACCGAAAGTAACTCACTGTTGTTTCAGGTAGACGGTGTAGTGCTTCTTTTCTATGGTAAGAGTGTAGGCCTGAACACTCTGCTCATTGAGAACAAAACAAAGCAAAGGGCAATTTGTTAGAATCAGTTAAATAAACCACTCCGTTGTTTTGTGTTTGTGCAAGATACCACGATCACAGGTCACAAAAGTAATTTTGCAGAATAAATTCTTAATAGGAACAGATCTGGAATAGATCCAGCATCAAACCCTAAAACAAGGATTTGACGCTGGAAATGAAGGCAGAAAAAGTTAAGGGAAAGATTTAAAACTGAGTTTTTGCAACCTTGGCAACTTTAAGATGGGTTGGACCACAATGCCCAGAATTCCCCAGCCAGCATTAAACAAATCACAATCTAATGCGAATTTTAAACACAGTCCATTAAACCAAAATGGGAGAAGAATTTCAAAGAACGATATGTAGTTTTAAAGAAATCAGGGAGGGAAAGGAAAACGTGCATTCCACTGAAAGATTTTAAAGGAGAGGTGTCCAACCTCAGCAACTTTAATACTTCTGGACTTCAAGTCCCAAAATTTCCCATGCTGGCTGGAGAACTCTGGGAGTTGAAGTTCACATACATTAAAGGTTATATTTATATTATATAATTTATATAATTATATATTATATAATATATTATTTATATTAAAAGAGGCTCTAGAAAGAGTGCAGAGAAAAGCAACAAAGATGATTAGGGGATTGAAGGCTAAAACATATAAAGAACGGTTGCTGGAATTGGGTATATCTAGTTTCATGAAAAGAAGGAGGAGACATGATAGCAGTTTTCCAATAACTCAGGGATGCCCCAAAGAAGAGGGAGTCAAGCTATTCTCCAAAGCACCTGAGGGCAGGACAAGAAGCAACGGATGGAAACTAATCAAGGAGAGAAGCAACTTAGAACTAAGGAGAAATTTCCTGACGGTTAGAACAATTAACCAGTGGAACAACTTGCCTCCAGAAGTTGTGAATGTTCCAACACTGGAAGTTTTTACAAAGATGTTGGATAATCATTTGTCTGAAATGGTGTAGGATTTCCTGCCTAGGCAGGGGGTTGGACTAGAAGACCTCCAAGGTCTCTTCCAACTCTGTTATTCTATTGTATTCTATTAAAGCTGCCAAAGTTGGACATCCCTGCTTTAACCAAGAAGAATTCAAAATTGAAAAATACGCAATAAACATTATTTTTTTAAAAAATCAATTGAATATTTAAAAGTATCACTAAACACGTCAGTGGTTTTAACACCTAATGAACTTGTTTATAAACATTGAGGTGTACTGCTGATGAGATGCTTTTCACATCTTAGGTGAGTAAGTAAAAAAAAAATCACTTTGGTTTCCATGCAATTTACTGATCCTCTCATCAAAGATGTATGGACAGAGTAAACTAAATTGGCAAAAAAATACATTTGCAAGAGCACCAGCGGCATTCTTCCATTTAAAGAGCGCAGATACCATAGTTAACACAGTACAAGTTAACTCCACAGGTGGTTTCTTGCAACAACAAATCAAATTATTTATTTTGCTAAGTGGTGCTTTTGTCTTAGCAAGTCACAGGCTGAAAGAGCAAATGGCTCAGCTTTCAGCGCTACCCATCTGGATCCAAATAGGGTACTATTTTTTTTTTTATGAGCCGAAGCAAAAATACCAATTCCTCCTTATAAAATAGAAACACCACAATGCAGAGTTTCCATTTTGATAAATCCGTTCAGGAGAGGCAGGCGTGTCCACACGGTGTGGTTTGTGTGCACTTGCATATTTGAAAGGAATTGAGTTTGTTTTCTTTGTCTCAGCCGCCATTTTGACTTTTTTTGACTCTACCTGGGACAGTCCTACAAAACAGGCCTTTGGAACTAAGAAGAAATTGCTCTTCGCCCATTGAAAAGTTCATAAAATATCCTCAACCCGATGGATTCCGCAAAACAGTTTTGAAACTGGAAAATTCAGGTGTGCAAAGAGCTTTGGATTCAATCCAGTTTCACTTTACGCCATGAATAATGTTTTTTTCATTCAAAACTTAAGGAGAAACGTTTAATGAAGAACATAATAAGGGCTGTTTTTTTCTTCCCATCATCAGCAAATTTCACATCAAACCACACCGATACCAAAATGTCTTAAAATCTGGAAGAGTGGATGTAAATGCCACTCCTCCAGATTAGTGCAATTGTGACGAACACAAGTACTGTACATAACAGAATAACAGATTAACAGAGTTGGAAGGGACTTTATAGGTCATCTAGTCCAACCCCCAACCCCCCACCCAAGCAGGAGACCCTACACCATTTATTTATTTATTTTTAAAAAATTATTTTTAAAAACCAACATACACATACAAAACATAAAAACATAAAACCACCTTCCATTTTATATACGTACAGTGGGTCAGTTGGTTACATATCTTTTGTGCTATCTTTTTGTAGTCATTTACTCACAATTTATATCAGTCTTCACATTGTCGAACTAATATATGCTTATATATAATCAGTTATTAATTATCCATGACTAAACTATTTATTCCATCATTTTATACGAGATGTTCCAAGTTTTATCTTACACAAAATTATCTAGTCTATTACATTACCATGCCTTTTTATCCAACCATTGATAAAACAAATCCCATATCATATAAAATTTCTGACAGATCCGAGTCCAATCTTTTCTTGAAAGTCTCAAGTGATGACGCTTCCACAATTTCCGAGGGCAACTTCTGTTCCATTGGTTGACTGTTCTTCCTATCATTTCTGTATTATCAACTAATAAATAAATCAAAATGCATTTTAAAACCCCAAATACCTCATCCTCAGCACTACCTATACAATCTTCAGATGAGTTGGCTGGTATCTTCAGGGGATAAGTGATATGCAAAAATGTTTGACACTCTAAAAAAGAAAAACAGGAGAAAACCAATTAACATTTCATTTGACAATCAGTTTCCCAGAAATTTCTTTTTTAAAAAAAAAATATTTATTCCCTCCTCTCAAAAAAAAAAAAAAATCAGTTCACACATTGCACACTACCAAAATGTGATTTGTTTTGTCCGGATCTGACAGTTTCTAATGTGAATCCAGCCATTGTGGCTTGTAAAAGTTTATTATTTAGTGTTTTGCATGAACTCAGACACACACTGATGTTTTGTGTGCTGTTTTTTATAAAAACTAAGCTGGACACCACAACATGGTTAGGTTCATATCATAGGTCCATAAGAAAGACAAGCAACATCAAGTGTCTCTGCCAATGTATAAACTATACCAGTGCTGGCTAACCTTTTTGGGCTCCTGTGCCAAACATGTGCAGAGGGCATTGAGGGCGCGCTCGCATGCCAGCACCCAGAAGGCAATGTGCGCATGGCCCCCCATGCCCTGTGCGCATGTGCATGTGATTTCCCCCCCCCC